CTATTTTCTTATGATTTATTATAAAATTTATAACATAAAAATTGATCTTCTGAAGATCTTTTGTTTTGTTGATTTCCTCTTTTCTGTAGCACCAAGCCCATATGTATTTATACCAGTAATTGCTTTAGAGAATGTACTTTATTTTATCTAGATTATATCTAAACCAACTATCTAAAGCTTTACTAATAGTTGGTATAATTTTTTTATTTATATTCTATAATATTTCTAATCATTTTTTTGTTTTATCAATACTCAAAGTATCATCAAGGCTATTTAATATTTGAATTACCTCATTCTATATTTAATTAAAAAATGAGCAATTAACTAAAAAAAAAAATAAATGATAACTTTTTATATTTATAAATTATAATATTACATATATGAAACAGTTTATGCTATTTTTCATTCATATCTTGTAACAATACTTATTACTTCTTCAAATACCCAGAGATGGTTTCAGGCTTAATGATATGTTTTGTCAATTATTATTAGTTGGTTTACCATTATTTTGTTGTCTCTGTTTTCTCTTTAAACTATTATTTAATTGTTTTTGGCTCTTTTTTTGTATATTAAAGCAAACAAGTTGAACTTCTAGAGTATCAAGATCAGAAAGGCCAATATTATTAAATAGACAAAAAAGTCTGATAGTACTAGCCATATCCTTATTGTCACTGATATTATAAGCATTGTCAGGATGAAGACCTAGAGCATTATTACCTCCGTCTGAACATATAGTAGAAGTTGCAGGAGTTGATGATTGTGCCTTAAAATCCTTAACTTCATTAATTAAGGAATTCAATACTTAAAAGCTTGCTAATGAAGTGATCATTATTGCGAGATCAGATGACTTTATAGAATCATGTTTGGGTTTTAGTGTTGGCAGACATTCATATAATTGGCTGTTTAAATTAATTTAAAGTTGATTAGTTGTTTAACGTCAATAATTGGGCTCAAGCTCGAGGGGGGGAGGGGGGAAATTTAAACAAACATATATACAACAAAGAATATATGACTATATCTAATTGGCCAACTTTAATCACATGATTATTGGAGATTATCCTGCATCGTGATTGGCTTGTTTAATTTCCGGGGGAGCAGCTAACCGAGAGGGGGGATAACGTTAAACAACTATTCAACTTTGAACGGCCTAATTTTATATTATTTATACAGTTTAAAGTACTTTTTTAAAAAAATAAAACTACTATTAATAAATAATAAGAATATAGAAAGTTTTATTAGGGTTGTAGGACTCCATTATTAAAAATAATCAAAATTCTTTTTTGTTTTAGAGAAGTTAACATGGTGATAACCTAATTTAAAAAAGTCACAACTATGCTAACTTCTAAACAAAAAAGAATTTTGATTATTTTTAATAGTGGAGTCCTACAACCGTAATAAAACTTTCTATATACTTCTTTTTTGTTTATTCTGAGTAGTTTTATTTTTTTTAAAAATTACTTTAAACTGTATAAATAATGTAAAATTAAATTGATTTAAACAGCCAATCATGCAAATGTCTGCCTATGAGTTTTAGTGTACTGTCTTTATCGTTATGGTATCATGTTAAATACGGGTTAGTGTTCCGAGTTGATTAATATTTTTCCAATCGATTAGTTGTCAACTTAGTTGTCAATTAGTTACAACTAACAGTCACATGTTTTCAATAAATTTAATTGGCATAATAAATAATCACGTGGTTTCTGTATCATTTCAAACCATTCTGATTGGCTAAAATAATTCTACGTCTTAAATTTATTATGTAGAGAATCAACCAACAATTAGTTGGCTAAAAATTTCCAATCGATTAGTCAACTAGTTGTACCTAGTTGGTTTATCAACTAACTTGGACATTAATACAGGTATTTTTCTGGTTAATATGATTATTGTTGAAATATGAATTACTATAACTACAGGACTATTAGAGGACGGGTAAGGGATGTAATCAGTAACGCATTTAAAGCCTTTTAGTTAGTAGATGAGCTATATTTTTTTCACTATCGCTCCCTCATAATGAAGGCTGGCTCTATTGTCCCACCCCTCTCACTATACATGGGTGCCTAAACTATTTTTGAAAAATCGTATTTTCGGCAAACATTTCGGCATTGCTAAATTTTTTATATGAAACCTTTCAAAATAATTATATCATATGATGTGTTTTGATGAAAAAAGTTCAAAAAATTTCGGCAATAATTTCGGCAAATATGAAAATCAATTTCGGCACTATATAAGACTAATTTCGGCTGCCTAATGCCGTAATTACTTTTTTATTAAGATGGACAATTTAGGCACCCATGCATGCCTTTCACCCGTCTCTCAGTAACATGTAAACTAAGGACAATATATTAACACTTGCTTAAGATGCTATTGGTTGGTGCCAATAGCTATGCGGCTGCCGCTGGTAACGCAAGGACGCACATTTGGCAATTGGGCTTCAGCTGCAAGGACTACAGTTTCTGTTTAGGCCCTGCGGCAACTATGGGCGGTGCAAGGACCTATGTCTTTGTTGCACATATCCGATTCTCTATATAGCTATGCGATACATTTGGTAACGCTCTGACTACGATATGTTATAAGTGGTCATAGAGATGTAATGAGTCATAAGATGTGTATTATTTGTTTGGAATGAAAATTCCTTTAGAGTTATTGACATTTTTACTAAGAAGTTATTTTGACGATGATGCCAAAATCAAATCCGATTGTATAATCGGTCTTAAATTTTAATTTAAAATTTAGTTTAAAAAATTTGGATCGTTAATTTGGGAAGTTTAGTAAAATAAGCTAAATGATTTATATTATTCTTAATCATTTATTGGAATGGCAAGATCTAATAATTACAAAAATGATATTCTATTCCCGGAAAGTGTAAAATTTAGATAAGAATTTAAATTTCAAGATAACACTGAATTACAATATAATTCATAAAGTAGAAATTAAACTTATAAGTGAATAGATTTTACTGCATATCTTTACGTATACGAAGATTGATAAATAGATTGATTGATAAGACGGAAAACATAACCACTAGAAGGCATAAATTAGCTGTTTTAGGATATTTACTAAATTGAACAAAATTTTATATAGTCATATTATTAAAGTATGGTATTACAAGACGAAAAAAACAGTCGCTAAATCAAATTGACTATAATAAGTAAACCGAAAAGGTTCAAATATACTTGATAAAAACGATGCACTTGTTAATGTAAACGTTCGCCGGAATATTTATAATGAATGTCTCCGTCCGTGATGACATAAAAGGAGATCGTATGTTAATCTATGAAAACAATGATCTACTTATCTATAATACATATTTCTAAAAGAAATTATCTTTACAAATGAAAAAGTTTATAAGTCATTTCCTGTTTTAGCTTTATCAAATATTTTACCTTGATGATTTTAAAACCACTAAATATTAGATCCGATTGATTTCAGGTTAATTATTTGGCGATTAAGCATAATGTTTATGATTGCTGTGGGAAAATAATTAATGACGCACAAAGTGACACAAACAAACGTTACCGTTTGCTCATGTGATTTCCTTTTTAAATAACGCCGTTTAAATACTGGTCTACTTACCAAAAATCTCTTTACGAAAATAGGAATTATGAGACAAATATTTTTATTTGCTTCATTTCACAAGATTGAAATAACGCGTTATCTTTACGCGTTTAAGAATTTATAGTGACTAAAAAAAGTAAATTTGCCTTTTTATTTTCTTTGATGTTTTTTAATTACAAATTTATTGAATAGTATGAGCACAATCGCGAAATTTATTTTATATTGTTACCATTTCTCTATATAAACGCTTAAAGTTGGCCTTCCTTTTTCTTTTTTTTTTATCTAATACGTTCAAGCGTCGTTAGAATTCATTACAATCGTTTCTTTACGTGCGAAATGACATCTCAAGACTCTCAAGTGTTTTCTCGCGAAATCACACTCTTAATCGAAAAAGAATTTGAGGCCGAAATCACTCTCTTATTCGAAAAGAGTCTTTCAATTTCGCCAAAAGAGTTCAAGGCGGATGAGTTGGCTCAAAACTTTCATCATAAAATCACCACTATGCCTAATGTTAATGATATATATAAACTTGTCATTAAGCTCAAAGTCGAAAAATGTGGAAGTTTTAATGATTTGGTCGTAGATCGATTTGGCGACCTTTTATGGTATACTGTCTCTGAAACGGAAAGAAATAAAATTGAAGAAGAATATGAAGTTCTTAGAAAGGATATAATTAAAGAATTGACTCTAGCTCCACCACAGCCAACCATTTCAACTACAGTCACAACCAACGAACAATCATTTAATGAAATCTTTTACATGGGCATTGTCGATTATATGCCACCGAAAAATTTTAATAATCCGATTCCAGATTCTATGGATTTTATTCAAGGAATCACAACTTCGCCCCAAACGAATTGATAATTACAGCAACAAAATTATTATTATTGCTATTATTATGATATTACTGTAAGATTTTTACATATGCATATGTTTTATATATTATATATATATATATATATATATTTGTAAGTTTTTTTATGTTCAGAATAACGATGGTGTTATATTATATTAAAAAATTTTTGTTGGTACAGTTTAAGGTTAAAAGTTAGATATTAAGGTTAAAGTGTGGTCTAATAGGTTGTGTAACACTTATGATGTAAATTTTAGTTAACTGTTAACTCATTAACTTAAATTACTTAAATTATGCATTAAATAAATAAATTATATCTAAGCTAATACGTATTAGTTACTACATATATTACTGTATTAACTATCCCTATGAATATATACGTGCTCAGTCAAATTAAAGTATTTAAACAAAAATTTATTTTTATCGTATCGGACTTAACCTTCAAAATTTGTTATCGATATTACGAATTCTTTAATCATATAATTCGTGCCAATTTAATTATGACATATATATCAATAACATAATTTTACTAAAGTAGGGCGAAGAAAATAGTATACAGCCATATTTGATGGGTTACGCTGTAAAGGAGAATAAGCCCTAAATTGTCACCGATAGAGTTCCTATCCATTATCCGTTTATCCATTTATCTATTGGATATCCAGATCTGAATTTATTCGGATATCTGTTTT